GATTTCTTGCTCCCTTTCGAGTTCGGCCTTTTTTGGTTAAACGTTAGCCCCCCCCCCCTTCTTTCCCTTCCTCCTGTCAGGCCCCATCGTTGGAATAGAGTTCCCTTCACAGGCTCCGTTTTGTGCTCGGGCTACGGCGACGGCGTCGTCGGTGTGGATGGCTTCGTCTCATGTTCCACCTCTGACTCGGTGACACTATCCCATTGGGGGGTCTCTAGGATCTCCTCTCTGACTCGTTTCCCACGGGGTGTCCGAAATGATACTGGTGGGGGGCGGGGGGAGGGGCCGGGGTCGAAGCGAAATGAATGAAGGAGTAAACTCCTCCTCTTCCGTCCCAAACTCCATTCTTCTCGATGCTAGTAATACAAGCTATCAAACTTAATAGAGATACCATCGTGAGTGAGGTGAGATATAACATATATCATGAGGGCGAGATGGGGCGTTAGAATGACGCCTAAGTTCGATACCTTACGTTGTTTGGGGAAGGCGAAGAGCGAGTGGGGGAGGAGCAGGGGAGGTGTAGGGTAAATCAGATATTGAAACGGAGGGTAAGGTCGTGGTGAGGTGAGCGAGGTCAGGATCGAGACTTCCTCATGTAAGTCGCCCATTCCCTTCTTAGCTACATCTGGCGGATTAATTTTTCACGGGCGGTTGTGCAAAACTCTTTGGACTTCTCTCTCCGTGTTCTTTGTCGACCCTCAGCAAATATGGACAGTTCAAGATATCCTAGCCGCGAGGCTATCGATTTAACCCCCTCCGTTTTTCTTCAATCCGACAATTTTATATGGCCAGACGCACCGGCACCAGCACCACCATCACCGCCCCCCCTCCCAATTCCCATTTCTAGGACTGCTAGACTGGGGATCCAAACGCCCTAAAAGGCAGGTTTTTATTTTTATATTGCCTTAACAATCGGTCATCTTCTTCAGTATATCAATTAGGTTGCTTTGCTTTACTTTGGTTCCCTTGACTGTCACCTCCGAGTCGTCTCTGAAGTTTACTTTGCTTTGCTTTAAGCCCTTGAGCCCTTGACCGTCACTTCTAAGTTTCCTTGACCGTTGGTTATACACACGATTCGAAGGCTGATGTGAATCTCACGGGAATGTATTAGATGATGGCGTACTCGACTGGGCTCTGGAGATAATCCAGCGCACTGCCCAAGCTGCCTCCCTCCGGGAATCGCAGGCCCATAAATACTATATTGGGATCCCGTGCTTAGAAACAGAGGCCTGGGTGCCACCGCTAGACTTATATCTCAACAAGCGGCTGGCCGACTTCGAGGGCCGGCTACAGAAGCAGGCCCTACAGTCAGGGGCTGGGCCGGAGGCTGAGAGAATAACCACGGGGCATCTAATTACTGAGGCCTGCAATAAGGTCTACCGAAGGTTCAACAAGAGGAGGAAAACCCGAGGCCGGAGGCCCCGTCAGGGCCCGCAGAGTCCCACGCCCACTGAACTAGCCGCTAGTGTAGTGGCCCAGTGGGTTAACTACAAATGGAAGATCGGGGGGAAGGATAGGGGGTCGAATACCAAGGAGGTGGTCGAACTGGCCTGGCAGGCCCGGTGGGAACAACAGAGAGCTAGTCAACAAAGTACTACTCGACAGAGGGTATTAAACAGGAGGATAGCCGACGAAGACCCCCCAGCCCTCTTATTTACCGACAAAGCTCTGATGAGACACGAAGGTCTTACAAAGGCGCAAAGCTCCCCCCTTTCCCAGGCCCGTATCGGGGATATAGGCCTCCGGGACTACCTGTTCAGGGTGAAAGTCCCGGAGGTCCGTACCCCCTATTGCGAGTGCGGGAGGGGCAGGGAGACAGTGGAGCACTTGGTGGTTTGGTGCCCCGACCCGCCGTTACAAAGGCCGTGGGACGGCAGAGAGATTCGGTCACATCGGGACCTACAAACCGTATTACGGGGAGTAGGTGCCCGGAGCAGAAGATTTGTTAGGAAAGGTCCCTTGGCTGGCTGATGGACTCTGGCCGGCTACTGGAGTATAGGCTGGCCAGAAGGCTGGAGCTAGAAACAGTGGATGGGGAGGGCTAGAGGGCCCGGAGGCCGGCAAAGGGCCTCCTTTCTTTTGCAGTATGACGGATTCATAGATTGTTGTCTCAAAGTGGTAGACAGAGAGTTTTTATCCGGCCTATACGGCACGGTTTCCTTTGTAAATAGCAGTAGAAGGACCGGCGCGCCCCAGGGCATATCGGTGTAGGAAATAATAATATATTGGGATCCCGGAAGATTATATTAACTGGGAGGCTTTTACAGCACCCTTTGTTTGTCGTGTGCGTGGCTGTAAAGGCTATGGCCCCCCCTTTCGGCTTCGCCCCCCTTTGCCTTCCCCCAACCCCCTCGCCTTTCCCAAACAAGAATAGCCCGCTGGTCCCTCCATTCTGGAAGGGCTCAGGGTGAATTTGAATGATGGCGCTTCAGAGGCCGGAGATGGGAATCCTTGGTTGGCTGTGTCCCAGTGGTTGTACACAAAGGCGTCCGTTGGGGATGTTGGCCAAATTGTCCCGTAGGGGCCAGCATTTGAGGCGCCCACCGAATAATCCTAGAGAACATCGCCGGTGCCATTCCTATACTCTGGGAGATAGGGCAAGGGAGCAAAATCCAAATGAGGCCCCGACGCCGGAGATCCATGGCACCTCCTCTTCAATTGCCAAAGCACATTGGCGGGTGCATTGGAGGCACTGGGCGCATTGGCCGCCAACAATATCAATGGCGGTACCCTGCATTCCTTGCTCTGTTGGTATTGAGCCGTTTACGTGGTGAGACGGGACAGGAAACACCTAGTCATCCGATAAATGACACGTTCTCGTTGCGCGTGTAGTGGCCAGGGGGAAAAGAATCATTGGCCGATCAACAGGGAACGACGCATGCTTTGCATGATTGGGTGGCCATATAGGTAGGTAGTTATACACTTCAGTATTCTCTTCGCCGCAGTTTGTACCGCTTCTCGCCGTCTTCCATGCGCATAACTCTTCGATAGTAACACAAATCACAAGCGCAATTCAGGGATATGAAAGAAAAGCACCTTCTGGGCCACCAATCCCCCCGCGGTCCTATACTCATGAGTGGTGTTGTCCAGCCCTGTCGTAGGAGAGTCAGAAGCAGGGGCCGAAGAACAACACTGAGCCAGTTCCCGCAACACACTCTGCACGTCCTCGACCCTGCCGCGGTTGTTGTAATGGACGCCGTCGATCTCGCTTCGGGCCGGACTAACTCGCTGGGCGGTGAACTGCAGCACACCCGACGTCGGCATCCCTTGCCATTCGAGGACGGGACCAAGTAACAGCGGCTTCCGTGCGGTTCCTGCAGCCGCCCTGCCGAGCAGGTACTGCAGGCCAAACGACTCGAGCCGGCCGAGGTCGCGCGCCCAGCTCCGAAGCACGGCGGCCCAGTTTTCGGGATCGCCCAGGCGGACGTGGCGCACGTACAGGTGTGCGAGCGTGCGGCGGAACCGCGTCGCGAGAGCGATCAACACGTCCGACGTCATGTCCCGCGTGGCCTCTCTCACCTCGAGGACGGCAAGCGGCAGGGCGTCGGGTGGGGCGGCGGCGGCCAGGCGGCGGTAGAACTCGCCCGGGGCGCCGCCCATGCACAGCTTCTGGAGGGACCGCGCTCCCAGGACGAGATCGACGAGCACGAGCAGCGAGTCCGCGTCGTGCCGGGAATACCACTGCAGATGCAGATCCACGAGATTGGTTGCCCAAGACTCGCTGAGCGAACCGGCCACGCTACGTGGGAGCAGACTGCGTCGGTCAGTATCCGTGGGATTAGACTGCGTGAGTATCCGGGCATTGGGGAACTCGGAAGGGGAAACTCGGAAGGTCTGGAGGGCCTGGAGGTTGTTGGCGAGGAGGAGGGCGACGTGCACCGTGTCCAGGAGCAAAAGACCCCCCTCTTCGCTGGGACCTCGCAGCTCCGCGTTCGGCTCCTGATCGTCCAGGACGGCGACGAAGCGGCAGTTGACGAGCCTCGACACGACAGCACGGAGATCGGAAATGATTGGGAACGAAGGGTCGAGGCAGCCCGACGACGGGTCGCGGGCCCAGCGATGGCCCGTTCCCGGCATGTGTCGTGGGGGGTTCGGACAGCTACGGACACCGAAGATGGCCAGTTCACGGACATATAACCGCAGTCTCTCGTGGTTGGCAATCTGACGGAGCCTCTCAAGGGGCTTCGGGCAAAGATCTACCACCACGCGGTGGAAAAAGGCGGTTGCGAAGGCGGAAAAGGTCTTCTCATACAGGGTACGGCATGCCAGACGCAGAGAGAGGATGTCGGCGTTTACAGCCGAGCTGACGATTTGTGAGACGAGTTCTGGCGGGAGATTCTGGAGCATAGCGTATAGGAATTGCTGGATGTGGATGAAAGATGAAAGGTGGTTGGTTTCTGGCTCCTCGGAACCCTCAAGCTCCAGTCCTCTGGGTTGTTGCCAATGACATACCGGCAGTCTTACTAAATGCACGTCACCGAACCCCCGCTTCGTTCCTTTCGGCTGATTTGGCGTGACACGAGGTTTCCAAGCTGACCTCTCTTCCTTCCAACCTCGCACTCTTTGGCCAAAAAGAGCCACTCCAAGCGTTGGATAGGTAGGCACCCAAGGTAGGTGCCCCCGGAACCTTCGACTAGGTAGAGGAACAAAGAGAAAGCCATTCGGAAGCCTATAGTCTATTTTTCATTTGGCTCGCTTTCTTTTATTTGATGTAACTATTTTACTTATTTACTTTACCTCTCTTTTTCTTAGTTTTCTTTACTTCTTTCCTTTTCCTTCATTCCTTTTCTTTCTTTCCCTCTTTTCTTGATTCCTTGCTCCCCTTTCGATTTCGGTTATTTTTTAGCACGAGGGGGCTTCGGTAATATATTCCAAGGGTGTGCATCCATCTTGTAGCATCCATTGAATCCTTCCGTTCCCTTGACCCTTGACACTTAGCTACCCTTTAAACGGAGCCTCTTTCGGTGCCTACTAGGTAGGTATCTACTATAGACTCCGCAATTTTAGAAGGCTTCTGTTGCAGGTGCTAGAGCTATGCAGTCCGGGATATTCCAGTCCCCTCGCGTTCATTCTAGCAGAGGTAAACCAATTGTACATACAATCATAGCAAACTATCACCTCGTCCCCCCATCCACGCTAGGCTGAACTTCAGGGTTCTAACAATACAATGCTCATGTTTCCTGCTTGGATAAGAACTGGCAGGATTGAAGCCTGCAGCGGTAATGCTAGTATAGGAACCTTATCATGTACCTTAAGTCTTCCGAAGTTCTGACCTGGATACCTTAGAAAAAGACCAGTACCCTGATAGATTGTTTTCCGGTCATGACGGACAAATACGTGCCTTGGGAAGTATCCTTTACTCGGTCGGCGCATCATCGTACCGCCTGTTGCCGTCGGTCGTCCGCGGAGAGCGGCTCACGTCCATGATAGGATTGAGGACGAGTCGTCCCTCTTGATTGTCGAAGGTCAGCACTATCCGGGGCAGGTCACTCGTCATATACACGCGGAGGACTGATCGCTGCGTTTGCGTGTCCGGGTCCGTCTCGGGCGTCACGGTGACGAGAGCCTTGCCAAATATCCCCGCGGGCGGACCGTCGACCTCGCCCGAGCCGCCCCTGTATTCGGTGTAGTGGAGGTTTCCGGCCGGGACGCCCTCTCGGACCATCCACTCCTTGAGGGCGGGCCGGCCCCTTGTCCCAACTGTCATCGGTGACGGTGCCCATGATCCAGGCAAAGCGTTCGTTGGGGCAGGTCGGCGGAGACACGTCCGCCAGCGTGGTGCTGGCGTCTGTAAGGAGGCTTGTGATGCGCGGGAACATCTCGGAATTCGGGCTCGGTCGCGCTCCTCGAACTCGACGCAACCGGGTTGCGGCTGAATTGCGCTATGTGGGGCGAGGGAGGAGGCGCTTGCCGGCCGACGGCTACAAAAATTTTTCCGCCATAGAAAAGAGCGCGGTTCCGATACGGGAAGAGGGGGGGGGGAAGCAGGGAAAATACTGAGAGAAAGGCCGGAGGGCAACGCATGAAAGGTTGGGGGTGG